GGCCCCACTTTTGTTTTTGCGTTGGGTATGACCATGTCATCATTTATCCACATGTACAACTGACGTGGCTTAAATTTTTGATATATCTGTGAGTTAACGGACGATTTTTAACGGAAGGACCAAATCGGGGTAAAAATTGTAAACAGTAGGGACCAAATCAGGGATTTTTTTAGTTCAGGGACCAAATCGGGGGTCCGTACAATAGTTCAGGGACCAAAAAGGGGTTTTAACTTAAAAAAAAATTCAGTGTCATTCTTCTTTTTCTTATTTTGCTCTTCTGAATCTGTGTTGCCGGTTTAAAAAAAAAAAAAAAAAGAGAGATCGACAAAAAGCACAAAAAAAAGAAGAAAAAGTCATAAAAAAAAAGGAAGAGGATTGCCAAAAAAAAAAAAAGAAGAAAAGACGCAAAAAAAAAAGGAGAGAGAGAAACAAGTAGCACAATTCTTTGGTTGGAATTCCTTATATAGAGAAGAAATCTGTGGCCAAATCCTTAAAGAAGAAGGAATCCTACTCTAATAAGGAGTTGGAAATTCTCTTTGAGTTCTATTCAAACAAGGAGATAGCAATTTTGTTTATTCCTTCCTAAGTTAGGAATCCTACTGCATTAAGGAATAGTCAAGCCAATTCCTACTAGGAAGTGCTTGAACTGATCTCTTCGTTTTAATTTGTTTAGGTTTGGTTCTTTTATTGGTTTTCTTGTTTGTTCCTTCGTGTCTTTCTGTTTCCTTTAACTCTTGCAGATTTGTTGGAGTTAAATTGCTGCAAAATAACTTGAATTGAACTTGTTTAGTTCAGTAACGAACTGAAAAAAGAAAGTTGAGTGAGGGAAAAAGGCAAGAGGTGTGAGCAACACTTGAGAGAAAAGCCAAGTTCTACAATGTGTAAAACACAAGCTTTGAGTGCCATTCTTTGAGAGAGTGGAGTGAAACATGTAAGGGAGCGTTATGAGGTCCTTTTTATTCTTTTGTTTCTAACATTTGTTGTAGGTTTCAATCATGTCAAGTGGTGATGACAAATCAACCACTAGAGGCCACCATGTGGATGAATCCTTCATGCTCAAAGCAATGCAACAACAATTTTAGAGGCTGGACATCATGTTTGGTGAGATTAAAGACAAAATGGAGAAGCAAGATGCAACGATAGCCAAGTTATACCAAACACAGAATGGAAGTCCGAATTTGTGTAGGAATGATGCTAATGATGATTTCGATGACGATTATAAAGATGCATTCAACAATGACGCCCAGAACTCAAATTTCAGCATGGATATATTTATGAGCGGTAGAGGGGGTCAAAGATATAGATTTAACAAAGGAGACTGAAATATGGCAAGGTGAGGAGATCGGCAAGATCATGACTTAGGCAACATCAAGATGAAGATTCCTCTGTTTCAGGGCAAAAATGATCCAAATGTGTATTTGGAGTGGGAAAAGAAGGTGGAATTGGTGTTTGATTGCCATAAATATTCTGAGGAGAAAAAGGTGAAACTAGCAGCAGTGGAATTTACTAATTACATTGTGGTGTGGTGGGATCGGCTTGTGCTTAGTCGCCGTAGAAATCGAGAGCGTCTTGTTGACACTTGGGAAGAGATGAAAGCTGTGGTGAGAAAATGATTTGTTCTTAGTCACTACTACCGTGATCTCTATCAACAATTGCAGGGCCTTACTCAAGGGTCCAAAAGCATTGAGGATTATCACAAAGAGATGGAGATCGCAATGGTTAGGGCGAATGTGGAAGAGGACAGAGAAGCAACTATGGCACAGTTTCTGCATGGCTTAAATCATGATATAGCTAATGTGGTAGAGCTGCAGCATTATGTAGAATTAGAATATATGGTGCATATGGCGATGAAAGTAGAACAGCAACTCAAGCGTAAAGGAGCCACCACCAGAACAGGGCAAAATTCAGGTTCCTCATCTTCTTGGAAACTGAATTGGAGCAAAAAGGAAGAAAATTCTGTTTTTAAGCCTAAAATTGCAACATCTAAGTCAAAAGAAGTTGGTAGCAATGAGAAGAGTAAAACAGATAATACGCAAGGCAAAAACTGAGACATCAAGTGTTTTCAATGCTTGGGAAGGGGGCATGTTGCATCGCAATGTCCTAATAAGCACACGATGATCTTGAGAGAAGATGGAGAAATTGAAACCGAGGGTGAATCTGATGATGAATCTATGCCACCATTAGAAGATGCTAATGATGGTGTGGAATATGCTGTTGATGGAGAATTGCTCATCACCAGGCGAGCTTTGAATGTGCAAGCCAAAGAAGATCATGAAGTACAACGTGACAATATTTTTCACACGAGGTGCCATGTTAAAAACAAGGTATGTAGTGTGATTATTGATGGTGGAAGTTGTACTAATGTAGCTAGCACTGTTTTAGTTGAAAAGCTTAATTTACCTATGACGAAGCATCCAAGGCCATATAAGCTAAAATGGTTAAACGATTGTGGAGAAATCAAGGTAAATAAGCAAGTTTTGGTTTCATTCTCTATTGGACGATATAAGGATGAGGTACTTTGTGACGTGGTTCCTATGCATGCTGGACATTTACTTTTAGGGAGACCATGGCAATATGATAGGAGGGTAACACATGATGGCTTCAAAAATCGCTATTCATTTGTCATGGAGGGGAGAACAATTACTCTTGCACCATTGAGTCCAAGGCAGGTTTATGAGGATCAACTGAGAGTAAAAAAAGAGAGTAAGCTGAGAAAAGAGAGTGAGCTGTAGGGTATGAAAAACAGAGAGAAAATAGCAGAGAAAGAGTTAAAAAAGAGAGAAAAGATCGAGAGTGTTGAAAACAAAGAGAGAAAATCAACGAGTGTTTATGCAAAAGAAAGTGATGTCAAGGCTGCGTTCTTTGCAAAGCAGCCTATGTTTGTGCTTCTGTATAAAGATGCTTATTTCAACACTAACGAACTTAATGATTTTTTGCCTAGTGTTGTTAAATCTCTTTTGTAGGACTTCAAGGATGTGTTTCAAGAAGACATCCCTAATGGTTTACCATCAATAAGAGGAATTGAGCATCAGATTGACTTCATTCCAGGTGCAACAATTCTGAACTGACCAGCATATCGAAGCAACCCCAATGAGACGAAAGAACTTCAAAAGTAGGTTGAAGAACTCATGAAGAAGGGGCATGTGAGAGAAAGCATAAGTCCATGTGTAGTTCTAGTGCTACTTGTGCCTAAGAAGGATGGGACTTGGCATATGTGTGTTGATTGTCACGTTGTCAAGAAAATCACTGTAAAGTATCGTCACCCTATTCGTAGATCAGATGACATGTTAGATGAACTGCATGGTTCTTCCATATTCACTAAAATTGATTTAAAGAGTGGGTATCATCAGATTAGGATGAAGGAAGGTGATGAATGGAAAACAGCCTTTAAAACGAAACATGGTTTATATGAGTGGTTAGTTATGCCATTTGGATTAACTAATGCACCTAGTACATTCATACGATTAATGAATCATGTTTTGTGTGCTTTCATTGGCAAATTTGTGGTTGTTTATTTTGATGACATTCTGATATATAGTAAGCGTTTAACTGATCATATTGAGCATTTGCAAATGGTACTTGAGGTTTTGTGAAAAAAAAAGTTGTTTGCTAACCTTAAAAAGTATTCCTTTTGCACAAATCATATTGTTTCAGCTGATGGACAAACAAAAGTGGTTAATAGGACGTTGTCAACCTTATTGCGTTCTATTTTTCAGAAGAACTTGAAGAACTGGGAAGAGTGTTTGCCGCACGTTAAATTTGCTTATAATCGAAACGTCCATTCAGCAATTAACTGTTCGCCATTTGAAGTTGTGTATGGTTTTAATCCACTCACTCCTTTAGATTTATTGCCTTTACCTATTGATGAACAAGCTAGTTTGGATGGGAAAAAGAAAGCTAAAGTGGTTAGGCAACTGCATGAGAGGGTGCGACAAAATATAGAGCGACGAACTAAGCAGTATGCAAAACAAGCCAACAAAGGATGCAAGAAAGTTGTATTTGAACTTGGAGATTGGGTTTGGGTGCATATGCACAAGGAGCGAGTCCCTGCACAAAGGCGTTCTAAGCTGCAACCAAGAGGCGATGGACCATTTCAAGGGATTGTGAGGATTAATGACAACGCATACAAGTTGGAGCTTCCTGGTGAGTATAATGTTAGTGCTACTTTCAATGTTTCTAATCTTTCTCCTTTTGATGTAGGTGACGATTTAAGGACAAATCCTTTTGAGGAGAAAGGGAATGATGGGAATCAAGATGACAGCATATCTACCATGCCATGTGATCCATTACACACCCAAGGAGGTCTAGTCACGCGAGCTAGAGCTAAGAAGATGCATGAAGCTTTAAATGGCCTTATTGAGTAGATTTGGGTTGAAAACAACATACAACAAGCAAATTGAAGCTTGGATGATTATCAAGGCATGGTAAACATCATTCAGGTTCAAGAGAAGCTTAGTTGAGGTCATTTGCACAGAATTACACAGTTTGCATCAAAATCGCACAGTTCTGCCACAATTTGTAGCAAATTGATATTTCATGTTATTTTTAGTGATTTTCACGTTTTTTGTATTATTTTTGGGCTGAAAATTCACTTATTTGAAGCCCAATTTGTGGTTATTAGGTTTAGGACTTAGGGTGTTAATTTCCTATTCTGATTAGGATTTGTTTTCTCTATTTAAAAGGCTTGTAACTCTAATGGGGCAGAGGCAATTGAATTTGAGTTTTGAGAGACTTTTCTCTTTGGTTCGTTTCAGAACTTTACAGAACTTATCAAGATTATTCTTGTGGCGTTCTAACCTGACTTATCATTCTCGTTCTTAATTGTTCGAGGGTGTGGCGTCAACCAACTTTCTACCTCTGGTTCTTGTTGCGTCATAGACAACGGGTCAAGGTTTTTACCTTTGGTTTTTGTTGTGACATAAACAATGGGTCAAGGTCCTATCACAAACCTGATTTAGCTTTCCTAAAGTTTAGAAATCCCTTGTCGTGTTGTGGGTCTCATTGTTCTCTTTGAGGTTCTCATCAACTTCTTAGTATTTTAGCTTTCGGTTTTTATGTCTTTTTACTATATTAAAAATATATAAAATGTTAATTAAAATAAATATTGAATATATTTTTGGGATATTAAAGGACAAAAAAGCCTACAATTGCAATTACAAGCCAGTGTTGTCAAAACTAAGCCTTAGGTTAATTTTAATTTCTACATCAATCTCTTTTTTTATTTAGTAATTTTGAGATAAGTGTCATTTCTCCAAATGTTAACTTATATGGCTTTCAAGCCTCTTATTAATGTTCATGTTAATTTCAACATTCTTTGCCAAATCATCATAATTACTTAGCTTTATTCTAACTTCAAGCCTATTTAATTTGCTAGTTCTACAACAATTCAGTTTAATCTATCAATAGTTCTTTGTCTAATCTGTTAGTATATTTAGATGAAGGTTTGCTCATTTCACTTGTTTCATTTATTTTGGATATTTAAGTTTTAAGTTTACGGTGGTGTTTGAAAGTCTTTGGAATTGTCCAAAATAGACTAGTAACCCATTTTGTAGGAAGATATTCCTCCTTCTTATAAATCGTTTGAAAGCGCAAAACTCAATTTTAAACTAATGTTTTTCTAGTCATCTTAATGGAGGTCAACTATGTGAAATGAGAGGGTTGTTGGAAAAATCATACTTTCTTGTTATATAGTAAAGCAAGTGGCATGCCTTGCAATTCAAAGTTTGCCAAGCACAAATGTGCTGCTTAAGGATTTTTTAGGAAATAGTCAATAAATTAAAAGAAAAATTAAAACAAATGATTTCCTTCCCATCCCCTCCAATTCTTTTGATAACCAAATAGAGAAAATTTTTCCTCTCCCTTGTTCCCCTCAATCCAAACCTAATTTAAAATAGATACTAGGACAACTTAAAAAAGTCATTGACATATAGATAGTTGTGGTTAGTGCCATCATAAGAAGTGTTATGATTACCAATTTTTAGTTTTTTTTTTTTAAACAGTGTCTCAAAATATGAATTAATTAATTAATTTTAATTTATTAACTTATAAATCTCAATTGTCTTATTAGTTATTAATCAATAGTTTTAATTATTAATTATTTTTATTAATCAAATTAAATAGAATCAATATTTTTAAAAATAATATTTTATATTTTTGGTGATCTTAACAATTTTTTTTCCATAACACAGCCATGTATGGACAGTATAAGGCAACTAAAAACCAGAGGAAATAATTATTTATTTACTTAATAAAATTATAAATTTTTATTTTATTATATTCTTTAAATTACTTAATTAAATAAATAATATAATCCTCCCCTACTCGTTTTATCTATTCAAGCATCTTATCATTTCCACTTCTTTGGATACCCTTTCTCCCCTTCCCATCATTCCCTTCTTCCCTTTCCTTTAATGACTTTTATTCAAACAAAACCCTTAATTAAACTTGGGCCAAGTTCTATAATACAGTAGCACTAGATTTTTTATTCTTGGGCCAAGTCAAGGGATGGAAAGATTTAATTGCCTGATTGGCGCAGCCAGCCACTCGTATGTCTAAGCTCTTGTAATGTATGAATATTATATTGATTGTATCATTGGTCACTGGAATTGGTTTACATGCTTGAGGGTTGGTTTGTTTTATTTAGATGATATTATAGATGCAGGGATTTTGTAAAGGATTGTGAGAGATACTGGGGTGTTGGGATCTGTAGATTGGAGGGTAGTCTTGCTATGCCCACCATCTGTTTGATTTTATTCCGCTGGGAGTAGTTTCGGTTAGGTGGCTGACGCTATTTGAGTGTTTTGGTCAGGATATTCAGGGGCTTTTAAAAGTTCTCATACTGTATAGTTTTGACATGCAATCAAATAATGGTGAATGAGGATCTAATGGGTTAAGGTACCCTTCCGCTTTAATACATATATATCATTGTTGACCAGAAAAAGAAAGAAAGAAAATGAAAAAGAAATACAGATATTATGTATATGGAATTCATTTGGAAGAAAACAAAGGAGCGAATGAAACTTCTATATATTCTAAACTAATAAATTGTTCTTTTTTATGTTTCTATTTAACCCAAAAAAGTCAGCTTGTTGAGGGGAAAGGCTAGGTTTCCCATTTACCAAGCTACTCAAATTTCATCAAATCCATATTGTAACCATGATTAATTGCAGCAACCATGTTTACAGAAGCCGCAGGAGAAAGGTCAACAACAGCAGTAACTTCTGGTCGTTCAGAGAAACCAGCCTCAGCATCCACCACCTTTTTATCTTCTTCAAAAATCACCCAATCATCTGTTACTATCGTCTTCAAAGCTAATTCCTGTTCTTTCTTGCCTGCAATGTTGGCAGTAGGGATGGATTTAGAATTTTTATTTAGCGGATCAGCTTGATCAAATCTGCCTCGGTTTTCTCTAACCACAATTTCCTTATCCATGGCATCGCGGGTGTTCTCCTTGTCATTGTTTCTCTTCAATATTGGAACTCCATGAATTAGACGTTCAAGCTCACGAATGTCTTCTTCAGGGATCGGTGTAATTGGAGGACAGTCATTCGCGTTCAATACCCCCAAATCCTTGCAAAATTCAAAATACATCCGTAGTTCATCCACTTGCTTCGTTGCCTTCTGAAGAACATGAAGAGCCATTACCGCTTCTAGTTTTGCAGCACTATGTATTCTCCAAAGAGCCCTTGCAATTCCCCCACAAATTCTGCTATAAATGTCGTAGATCTCAATGACCACGCAATCCATAGCTTCGAGAATCAAACTCACCTTCATGTTATGAGCGCGCGGTTTGATTTCTAATAGTATATCAAGCAAAGATTGTAATTTCTGCAACTTCACGAGTTCTTGCAAAATTGAAATTGGTTGTTCTCTCTCTTTGCGTTGTTGAGAACTGTAAAAGAAGGACGATCTCTGATCTAAAAAAGCAAAGTAGGTACGAATGAATGCATTGAAGCCCCATGTTTTGCTCGGACGGGAATGACCGTCGGCAAAACGGGAGAGATCGAACGGTAATCTTCCGATCATCTGTACAGACGGTACGTCTTTACAACAAAATATGCCATGCATGAGCATCAATCCCTTGACGGCGACAACCCAGCTGCGGGTTTTTTCAAGACGTTTGGAGAGAACCCACATGAGGGATCGCAAGTTGACGGGAGACGTGCGAATCCAGGAGAAGACACGCTGAGCATTTCGGTAATCAATATGGTGCTCGTTGTGACTGGTGGACTTGATGACGGCTGCCTCGAGATCCGGATTGCGGTGGGAGGTACGCCCAGATAGACTGGCCAACAACAGGCTGTTCCGGTCTTTGATCGAAGCAGCGGCCCTTTTCCATAACAACGACATCTCTTCTGCCTACCAGGCAGCTGGATGAGGAAATTAGGTTGCTTGTGCCTTGTTTTAGATTGAGTAATTGGGTTTGTTGTTCTATTTTGAAAAGAAAGAAAACTTGGGAGTTGGTAATGTGACGTGTGGAGATGGCTAATAACAGCAAGGCAGCATTGCCGGCCAAAACGAGTAGTGGTAGTGGAATGGAACTTCCGTGTTGACGCTGTACCGATAGAATGAAACTACCGTGTTGACGCAGTACCGATAGTTTTCTTATTATTATTTTTTGGGTTCTAGACGTTGACCATTGGTCATAATGGTAGTTGAGTTGAGGGTATGCCTTGCATGGTTTTATTTAAGTAAATTTGTTAATTATGTAAAATTTAATATAATTAATTTTTTTATTAATTTAATGCTGTTAAATGTATATTAATAAATATGATTTCTTCAATCAAAAACTTATATTAGATATTAAAAATTAACGTTTCTAATCATCTACATAAATAGAATTAGAAAAAGACGTTTCTTGAAAATAAGAAAGGGGACAGTGAGTCTCCTTTTTCAAGTTACGGGTCACACCAAACAACCTTGCGTGACTACCATTTAATTAACTGGTATTGATATCCAAACTAGGGCTAAAACACTCATGTATCCATCATAGCCATTTATTTCCAAAGCCCATTCTCATTGGCATATAAGCAAGAAAATTTTAACTAAGATTGTCATATACTTTTTCAAATATGACTTTAAAGAAAAAGACTTACTTTAAAGAAAAAGACTTGCTCTCTTCTTTTTCTTCACCTCATCCATGACTTCATTAGCCACCACCACTCCATCCATTAGTTGCTTGTCTACTACCAAAGCCATTTGCTCCTCCCAAATGATATCATTTAACATTGCTAGTAACCTGTTTGCTAATAGCTTTCCTAAATTTTTGTACACTACCCCAATAAGTCAATTAAGTCTGAATTCCTCTATTTTTTTTGTGGAATTTTCACTTATGGTATTAACACCACAAACAATATGATGAGCCAAATATATATATATATATTAATATAGAATTTCTATCTTGATATTATTGACATTTAGATGAGTTTTATAAAATTTTACTTGATTTTATATAATTTTCATTCTTTGTATAATTAGAAAGGATTTAATTGGAAGAAATCATAATTTTTAGGAGCAAATGGTTAGATAAAAAATATGAGAATTAACTTGCATGGAATCCAGAAGTTAGGGACCAGTATGGCAATTTTGCCATTAATCAAAATCGCTTAAAATGCCAAAAACCAGACAGAGTTCTGATTTAGCGCTTTACTAAAGGTAGCAGCACCTTATTGAGGGTGTTGACCCCTTATATGATTTTCGACATATCCATCCGTCCTTATTATTTTGGTGCACAATTATTGATCAAGTTTTTTTAAATCCTATAAATATTCATCCAAGTTTAGAATTGGGAGAGGCTTTGGAGGCTAGTGGCAGCAATTTTTTGGACATTTTTTGAAATTAAAATAGATGATTTAACAAAAATAAAAAAATTAAGAAATTTAATTTTCTCAAATTAAATTTTGTTTTTTCTTAAATTTTTTATTTATTGTTTAATATTCTTATTTTTCATAATTATGATTTCAAATTTTAATATTTTTTTTTATGAACTAATTTAGCTAACTAAAGTTATGAGGTAACCTAATTAATTTAATATAAGTTTTATGGTTTTTATACAATTGAGATTGCTTTTTCATGATGAATATATATAGTTGTTCTTAGTGTTTTTTAATGCTTAGCCACCATTAAAATTGATATAGAGAGCATAATTGAGATCAAGAGAAGATTTTATGCAATAACTTCTACTAATATATACCATAAATTAAACAAAAATCAAAGATGGACTAACATGCTTTTTGTAACATTAGTGATAAGTAGACTTAATACTCTATAAAAACTAAGGAATTTCACAAAGTATATTATAATTTTATCCATTTAAATTTATATAATGATATAGTGGATTAATAGATGAAGTTTAGAATAACTTGAAAAAGTATATTGAATAGGATAGTAAATTTCATTGTTATATGAATAGTAAATATTTTAAAAGTATAATAATCCAAAATCTATAATAATTGATTATGGTGAAGTTGTTGCTATTTCATATCTTAATTAGCTTTATTTTAATTATTATTTTCTTTCTATTATTTTTCATTAAAATTTCTTTTCAATTATTCAAATAAATCTAGGTTAATTATTTTTGATATTTAGTTAATCATAATTTTCATAAATTCAACACTTTTTTTATCATTATATTACTTAAAACAACTAGTGCACTAGATTGATTTTAGCACGTCACAATAAATTCAAACCACTAAGTGAACTTGACTTAAAGTCAATTTTTAAATGGACCAACCCATTAACTGACTCTTCCTCAATAATTGTTGTTTACACCTAAAATAAATTAAATGAAAAAGAACACGAGTATGTTTTAATTAGGCCACATTTTTAGTGATGGGTTGAGTTGAGTCCATAGGTGATTTAGGCTCCAAACCAAAAAGGGGTTACGATGGGATGGTTAGTGTCCAAGTTGGGAAAGTCGTTTCAGGTAGTTAAAATTTAACTTAAGTAGGAGATTATGGAAAGATTTACCTAGAGATTTATTTAGAGTTAATTTCCAGTTGCTAGACAAGGGGAAAATTGCTCTTAGACATGGCCCTTTACAATAGGTTTTTGTGGAGGCGAAAGCAAGAATCATGAGAGGAAACCGTCAAGCAAGAGAGACAAACAAAAAAGGGGAAAATGATGAGTTCTATACAGCTTGCCCTACACATAAACCGCCTAGCGTGTATGCATCTTCAATTTTCCGACTTTTAGATTTTTGCGTAGTTTTCTAGATTAGAATGCAAGACCTACTTTTGGTCTTAGTTTTAGTTTAGATTTTCTATTTTTGTTCATATTCATCTTCAAAGATTGCAATTTTTGTTAATTTTCAAGGACTTGGGAGCAATTCAATCTTGTAAGTGAGTCTACCCTGTTGATTTAGTTAGTTTCTCTTTCTTCTATGGATTCACCTCTATTATTTGTTTATGTAAATGAGTTGAATACTTTCTGCCTTCTCTTCTTTGTTTCTACATAGTTACTAGATTTATAGCCTGTTTAACCTCAATTTCTAGATTAGAATTTAATTTCACAAGTTTCTAGACTTTAATCAGTTCGTAGATTATCTTTTGGTTTTAATAATCAAATAATCTAATTATCTTTATTTTAAGTTACAAGTAATTAGTTTAATTTTTAAGAAATCATTATCGTGTAGATAGTTAAAATCATTGTCTACAATTTGACATAGTTTGTTGTTTGCAAATATTTTTGTTGCTTGATCTATTCTTTTAATTTCTTTAGTCTTTTAATTACTTTAGAATATTGCATTTAATTTAGGATTAGTAGTTTTTGTTACATTGTTGTGATTTTAAAGTTCTTAGAGGTGTTCAAGGCAATTAGTAACCCATTTTGCATAACTCAACCCTCTGTTTTGCAACGTCATTGTAATATCTCAAAATTTTCTAAGACCTTAAAATTTAAGTTATGGACTTATGTGGTAGAAATTATTTTGTTGGATTTAATAGTTAAAATTCACAAAGCTAAGGGGGTTAAAAGTAAAAATTTGAGAATAAAAAGGGTTGAGCTAATTTCCTCTTTCTCTCCTTGCCTTTTTATCTTGGTTTCCCCTCAGCCTTTAGTAGAAATTTTGCTCAACAAGCCCTAGCCCATGCCATCGTCATCTTGCTAGAATAAGGTGAGATTTAGCATTTTTCTTTCTTCTCATAGCAAGGGTTAGAGATTTATGAGCTTATAATTCTTAAAATCATGATAAAAACCTAGATCTTGCTGCTGGTATCCTTCCATTTTCTAGTCCACGTTGGGTATAAGGAGAGGCTATCTTTTTTCCAACACATATGGTAAGAAATTTGACATATTACTCACCTTTTCATCTTTAATTTGAAGTGGATTATCTGTAATCATTTAGGGTTTTCAATTTTGGGAGTGTTTCCCCCCTTGATTTCGCCCATAATCTAGCATCGTTAGCTCTGATCCCTCTTTTTGTTGCAAATTCGGATTGCATGACTCTTTTGTAGTAATTTGCCCATAAGTCTTTTTGTAGTTATCGAATTAAGTCCATTTTTAATTCTATAGAAAGCTAAGAGATAGCCATACAACTTTTGTGTTGGACGTTTAACCTAGTTCAATTGTTTTCTTGATGAAAATTTGCTACAAGTCTGATTTTCACATGCAAACTTAATTGGCAGCTTGACCCTATGTTTTTTTTTTTTTTTTTTTGCCATAACTCTCTTTGTAGATGTTAGATTGACGTAATGCTTGATGCTATAGAATGCTAAAACATAGGGTACAACTTATTTGTTGACCACTCAACCCAAATCAGTCAATTTCGGGGTGTAAATTCTGTTGGAAGTTCCAGTTTGAAATCTGACCAGAAATTGCTTTCTTTTCTGTATTATTCCCACTTTATTTGCTGTTACATTACATCATAGTTTTAGTAGACTTTTAGCTGCTATTTTTGGACTCTAAAACCTTTGTTATTGCTTTACCTTGGTTGCTCTTTTTGCTACTTAATTCTTGTCCATTTTTGTCCAGTTCTAGCTTGTGTTCTAACTTGTTTTGTTGCTGTCTTTTTGCCAAGAAATCCCTATTGTTCAGGGCTTATTCCAAGCATTTAGGGACTTCTATAAATGGCAAAACCCCCCACTTTGCTGCCTAATACTGCTGCTGCGTCTAGGATAGTTAAGAGCTCAATTTCTCACTAATTAAGTTCCACCTTATTTTGTCCAGAAAATCTATTTGAGATACCTTCTGCTCATGTGTCTTTTTTGAGTTGTTTTAAGCATATTCTAAGTATTTATTTGGTGTGATATAGGTTTTAAATCACCTCAAGCACCTTGACTTCTTGAATTCCTTGCTTGTTGTATACCTACAAGACGAAATAAGTAACATTATGGTAAATGCCCTTGGATTTTAAGGTAAAAGGTTTAAAGCATATTTTAAACTATTTTTGAAGTGATGGCGGGATTAAACCTG